CTAAAACGAAAGAAAAGCAAGGGAAAAAAATAGTTCATCGTGCAAAGATCGAAATGCACGATGCATTTTTAAAAGGAACATTGAAACGCAAATATTTTTATCCTCCTAGATTGAGCAAATTTCACACAGCGGAACGCCACTCACAGACACTCACTTGCGTCAATCGATTTGATTTCTAGAGGCTAACGCGCGCGTTTTACGTCTCCTACGCTTTTCTGTACTTGATCATGTTTGTACAGCCGCATTTGACATGTTTGGACGAGGCCGGCAAGTAGTACAGCCATTGTTCACTACCGCCAAGGCGTTAACGCGATATGTCAAGATGTCACTTTTTTCTTAACAGCAAAATGGAAGATTTTGTCGATTGTTCTCTATCTTTAGATCCGAACAGATCCAAACTTGATAAAGTTTTTTTTCGTTATATAATCGAAATTACAAAATTACAAAAAATGTATTGCGGTAATTATTACAATGTAGCCAACTCCCACTCCATAATAAGATACAATATGATGTACGCGACTGATTCTTTTAGCAGAAAACTTTTTGCGCGCTACTACTGACATCGCTTTACCTGCTTTTAATGGCTTCCCCCAATAAAAAGTATAAACAAGTTACGCAGGAAAAGTAAGAAAAAAGTTGCATGCAACGGTTAATTAAATTTTTCAAGTCTGCAGTTATTATTTTTCCGCTTCATTAAACAATAGTACATAAACTTCTTGAAATTATAAGCTTGTACAAGTAAGTAACAAAACTGATAAAATTCCTTGTAAGTATCGAATGCCGTGCCCAAACGAATTGTTGTTATTGCCGAAGTAAATCGAAAAGTGTATTTTTTATATACTTTTTATAACGGAAGGAAAAGTTTCCCAATAGTACTGTGATCACATCTTGAAAGTTATGAAGATAATTATTGTTGTTTCGAGTTTCGACCTGAAATATTTCAGCTGAGGACGCGAAGCCGATAAATAAAAAGCCGATAAGTAGAATACTGTAACCGCGCATTGTCCATATTACTTTTATATTCTATTTATATATCTTCACCAATAATATTGCGAAAACCATTGAAATATTTTTCACATATTTTATATACATATATCAGCAGTAAAAGTGGACTAATTGAATTTATCACTTACTTTGTGTTACATCAATCTATATTATAATAATGTAATCTTTTTTGAAAAAGAAAAAAATAGTTGAAAATTGAACAGCTCAATGTATCATTAAACAGGTTCAGTTTATTTTTTGACAGTAGTCTAAGTCACTTGCTCTCTAGTAAATTTCCGTTTTATAAAAAAGAAAATACTTGTTCTTCTATTATGTCATCAAGTAGCGGTTCAAATAAATAAACTTGATATAAAATGGTATATTGTAAAGCTTTCAAAACTTTTCAGAAATTGAAAATCCTGTTAGCAAAGAAGAAAAAACAACTAAAATATTGGTAAAAATTAATTTAACATAATTACAATTAAAAAGTGTAATAGATATCTGTTTTTAACTTGTTTTTAAATAAAACTTAATGTTTTTTTTCCCAATTATTTCAAAAATTTATTAATTTTGAAAACGATCCAAATCATTTAAAGTATCAAAAATATATTTTTTTTACAAGTTATTCATAAAATTTTACAATTACGGAAAAAATTTATATTGTAAAAGTAACTGTTTTGGAAAATATTTTGTTATATAATTTTAAAAATATTTTTAATACATACAAACGCAAAAGAGTCGTATGTCTCAAAACAAAAAATATATGACCCAATCTACTTTCATAATCACAATTATACGATGTATTTCACAAGATACATCAAATTAAGGATTGATTAGATTGTTTAGAAATGTTTGTTAGGTTTATACGCTTAACATAATGCTTCCTATTCGAGATAATATCGCCACGATATCCTGAGTCACGTTTCTCTACGTGCGTTAAACAACGTAAACATTCCAGAGATACAAATTAGTTGTAATTAAATTGACAAATATATACAATAAATTCCAGCAGTCTTATATATGAGTACACAGACCGTAGTATAACGGAAATACACTAGCGTCAGATAGAATAGGTTTTTTTTCGAATTCCTAGTCAAAAGCTGCAAGGATAATCTGAGAATTTTTGAAAATAAATCTTCCTTAAAAAGATGCCGATGAGAAAAGTTACAATTAAAGATACAAAAGTGCAGTAAATCTGGATCAATGAAACGTGTAATACCTAACAAATGGACGACTTTTGATATTGTACTTACCAAGTTCTGATACGGTATTATTTTATTTACAGCAAATACCAAGATGAGAGAATTGGGACAAGAAATATCGAAATAAAACAGTATCATAAGACAGACAAGCATACAGGCCAGTGAAAAATTGAAGAAATCTCGATAGCCCATAATGAAGTAACATACAAAATGTTATAACGATGACACATCTAAGTAAATATTTAATGTGCAAGTTCTACAAAAGGTTTTAAGCTCTCATACTGGACAATCTATTATTCAGGACGGAAGCAATTCGGGATAAAATTTTCATTGCAAGATAATGGATCGTTGAAAATTCGAGTTTTACAAATAAAGAGAGAGGAACATGACAATCGCTAATAGAGAAAGTAGACTGCTGGGAATACTGAACGTTCGTGCGATAATATCAAGATTAGAGAGACGTTGAGCAAGAGCAGTCGAATGGATATGTACTTTCCAGGCATAATTCTCCCGTACTCAAAGAAGATAGTACTGATGACACTTACGGGAAGCGATATACGAACCACCGGCTGTCTTTTCGACATTTTCTACGCTGTTTTTTCGACTGCGCGTTTCCGTCTCTACGCGTCGACATTCAGAGCTGCATTCACATAGAAGAAAACATATCATTTGTACTACACAATTAAACAATCCCAATTTTCTTACTTACTCAACAGTCTAATGAACTTGAAATTCAATTTACTCAAAACTACTTGCGTTCAACTAACTCATATTTGCAGAACACCGTCCAACTTAAACACATGCTTCTATTAAAACCAACTATTATCGCTTAACCCTTTCGGGACGAGTATCCTTTATAAAGAACATTCTTCTAATTTTGAAAATTGCTCACTCGATTTTCGTTTCCATGAAAGTTGATCTATAAGTATTTGTTGATGCTTTACACTGAGAGAAAAGTATATGATATTTGAAATTATAATTGTATGGGACTATAATTATAATCAGAATACTCATTTTTATAAGAATTATTACTATAATGTTAGCAATAATAACCTTATACGTACGATACTGTCAGTCATATAATCAACTATATAGTTAGGGTTGCGTTCCGTTTCATGCATGATGAGCAGATAAAAATGCTGGAAATCTATAGTGTACGTAACATAAACTGTAGATTTTTAGTACTTCTTTGCGCATCATGCATGAAACGGAACGCACCTTAGAATACCTATAAAAATATGGTTGACGCCAAAAATCACTATAGATTATGGTTATTGCAATTATTCTTTTCTCTCACATCAATGTATTTAAATCTGAAATCAAAAATACAAAATTCAAAATAATGAATTTGATATAGCGGATTGAATTTCAACAAAAATAATCGAATTATCTTCAAACTTAGTTTTAAAGGGTGTTTTTCAAGTTAATGAATTCAAATATAAGTTTAGAATTTTTATTTTTTTATTTAAATAAGGATGCAATATAGTGCAAATTTGAAAAAAATCGAATTATCTTAGTTCTAAAGAGGAGCTGCTTTTGAGTCTGCTCAATATAACCTGAAAATTTTGAAATTCTGAAGTAACACTTGAATTTCCATAAACCCCCTAAAACCAAATTTCACAATAATAGAACTAATTTTTTAAAATTTAGTCCGCTATATTGGATTCGTCAATTTGAATTTTGACATTTTAAAGCCACAATCGATTTTAGTAATCTTGAAAACCTTTAAAAAACATATGTAAGTTATTTTGTTAAAAAGTTTCTGTCCTGAAAGGGTTAATCCTTTAATTAGCAATTAAATCTAATCAACAATCAAATTCAAATATTATCGTTGCTTTATAACGACAATTAGTATTCTAACTAACTGACAATTAAAATTCGATTAAATTAGTCCGCCAAATTTTAGCAATCAACTATTAAATATATCTGACATGTGTAGTGAATCTAATCTTCCATTATAAATTTCTAGCAACTACGGCGAATTTGGTCTGTGTACATTGTACGTTCAAAAATAACATAGAGTTTTGTAAACATGTCAAAAATTGTATTTACCTATATAAATACGCATAGTTTATAAAAAATAATCTAAAACCGCTGACTCTCCTTTTACTATAAATATTTCGGCTAATCTAAAATAAATTTTTCTTGATAATAAAAATATTGAGACAATTTGTAGTTTTCGAACTAACGATTAAAAATCAAAAGTTTTTGAAAGCTAACAGAAAGCTGTGGTAAACAAAATAACAAAGTTTTATTTTTCAATCCATGTCGTAAATGGACTTTTAAATAAAAATTTTATTCAAAGCCTCGAAGTAAGCAAAGATGTGCAGTGTTAAAAATCGAAAAAAGAAGATAAATAATGAACCCTTTCGACATTTTCCCTAAAAAAACACCGTTTTCAAATTGGCGTAGTAGCGATTTCAAATTTCAGAAGTAGCGATTGAAAAGATATTCGATGATTCTGAGGCACTATATATTTTATCTCTGTTTTCAGTGCTATTCTCGCATGTGCATCACAATTCTCACTAACGGAAAAGTAGCCAAGTTTAATGTAAAATTGTAATACACTTTGTTATTACACCTACTTAGCGTAATTATGTATTGCATTAAGAGAAAAACAATCAACTCGAAATTAATAAAAAAAATTAGTAGTAGATAAAAGCGTAGTACACAATCGTTTAGTACAATTATACTAATTTTAATAATTGTTAAAGGGATAGTCGAAAATTTGGTATTATTATTTGATGAAACTGTTTGAAATCATCTCGCGACGTTCCAATAAATGGTAATGAAAAGTAGCCACGATATACGAACCTTGAGGGCAGGAAGGACCGTTGCGAGGTCTGAGGGGGTCCGGGCCGCGGACGCTTGATTTGTGGCCCCGTAGCTACGTTGTTGTTGATAGCTGCAGAGATTCTTGTGAGCACTGGCTTGAGCTGTGTAAGCCGACACTGATAACTTCATTTCTCTCTGTTCCCGATAAAGGGTCTGATACTCCCGACAAGTTCACGGGAAAGGCCGGGACGCATTCTGGATCCTTCGTGATATCCTTAAGCCACCACCGTGAAGGGCGGTGCTCGGATAGATTGCCGCGTCAAAAGTTCTCGAAGAAAGAAGGGAAGTGGCGAACCTTTGCCGAATTATATCCTTTCCTCTAGCGGTAGTGTCATCGATACTTTCATCCGCCGCTTCTCATCTGCCTGATTCACTTCTCTATCTGCTTATCGTCAGATTTCAGAATTATCTCGCTTGTTATCGCGCCGAATAGCGATTTCTTCTCACGAAACTGCAACGTCCACTTGCGTCTCGCGCGATCGCGACAACACCCTTATAATTTGTTATTTTTCGATTTTCGCCTTTTCTCTCTTCGCGCACTTACATTACGATCGAGTTGCACGCCGATAGATTTGCCATGAAGTTCGAAGATGATTCCCCAACGTGTAGTTAAAACGAATGTATCGGGGGAGAAAAGGGCCTTAAATTTTCCGTAAATTCTTTTGAAAAACACTCCGGCGCGCTCTTTCTCCCTTTAGGTTCCGACCAGACTCATTTCCGCAAGACGTGACGA